AACGCTGAATACAGTTTCTCACGCCTTGAAAAAGTAAATTAAAAGGACAATTAAAAAATGACAAACGACGAACTGTGATTACCACAGGGGAAATAAAATCTAAAATTAAACTAATAAAAAAAGGAATAAAAAGTCCCACTTAACATAAAGGAAAAAAAGACAGAACACAATTTATAAGCTGAAAAAAATAAGCAATCAATTGTCTTTCATGGCTGTACAGAAAATATGAACTATAAAGTATAACAAAAAACAACAAAACAATTGATCATACTTTAAACGGATACAAATACAACACCCGTGATTCGTGCGATTTCCTGCTCACAATATTTAAACATTTCTTAAAATTGCAGACACTTCATAAAAAAAAACAACAGCGACATTGTCAGCAGTTCAAGCACACATGTTCAGTCGTGAGAAACATTTTAAAATATCACATAAATTAGTTATAAAATTATTCTCACCTGATCACCACAATCATCAAAGGTCAGTTTCTCCCTTTGCGCATGCGTGAGTGTGTGTGTTCCACTGGTGTCCAGACTAATGATGCTCTCACTGCAAGGTCTGACGTATTTCAGATCACTCTTTCTGGAGTCAGTGGTTCTGCAAACCTCATAATTGTACACGTGCTGTAAAGTTCCTGTGCCGCCTACGTCTGCGTAAAGAGGCGGATAATACGGAATAACTGGAAGATTCGCTCCAGATTTATAAAACATCCGCTCGCGTCTCCATCTGTAGCATTTGACTGACAGTATGGCGATGATAGACACGATAAAGAGAAATGAAACCACAGCCAAAGCCAAGACTAGATAGAAAGTCAGGTTCTCGTTGTATTCCTTGTCGTGCGTAAAGTCAGTGAACTCCGAGAGCACTTCCGGGAAGCTGTCCGCCACCGCCACGTTAACAATGACTGTAGCTGATCGAGAGGGCTGTCCGTTGTCCTCCACTACAACAGTGAGTCTTTGTTTGACAGCATCTTTATCTGTCACTTGGCGTACAGTTCTTATTTCTCCATTCTGTGCGCCCACTTCAAACAGCGCCCTGTCTGTGGCTTTCTGCAGTTTATATGAGAGCCAGGCGTTCTGACCAGAGTCCACATCTACAGCCACCACTTTAGTCACCAGATAACCCACATCTGCCGATCGAGGCACTATTTCAGCCACCACAGAAACACCTGACTGGACCGGGTACAGAACCTGAGGCGCGTTGTCATTCTGGTCCTGAATGATGATTTTGACGCTCGCGTTGCTGCTGAGAGGAGGAGAACCTCCGTCCTGCGCTTTTACGCGGAACTGGAAATCTTTGATCTGCTCGTAATCGAAAGATCGCACTGCATGTATGACTCCACTATCAGCACTAACGGACACTAACGAGGACACGGGCACTCCGTTGACCGACGAGTCCTCCAGTATGTAAGACACACGGGCATTCTGGTTAAAATCTGCGTCTCTGGCTCTGACTGTGAATATGGAAAGACCCGGTGTGTTGTTTTCTTGAACAGAGGCCTCATATGAGCTCTTCTCAAAGACGGGCGCGTTATCATTGACATCTGATATCTGTAAGGATAGAGTGACGCTGCTGGAGAGAGAGGGCACGCCCTCATCAGCGCACGTCACACTGATGTTATACTCAGACTCTCTCTCTCGGTCTAAATCACTGTCTGTCACTAGACTGAAGAAATTAGTATTAGTGGATTTAAGAGAAAAAGGAATATTTTCATTAACCGAACACTGAACTTTCCCATTTTCTCCTGAATCAGGATCCTGAACATTTATCATTGTAACCACCGTGTCAGACGCGAAATTTTCAGCAATCACGTTTGTTTTGGACATTATATCGATCACTGGCTTATTATCATTGATATCAATGACGTCAACTATGATTTTACAGGAATCACTAAAACCTCCGTGATCACTCGCTTGAACGCGTATCTCATAGCGTCGAGCTGTTTCATAATCAACTAGATCTGTCAATCTTACTTTACCATCAGTCTCGTTTATTTCAAATTTACTGCGGACATCATTAGTGTTTGTTATTGTATAGATTATTTCACTGTTTACTCCTTGGTCTTGGTCTGACGCACTAACTGTCGCTACAATTGTTCCTTTTGGTGAATTTTCAGTTACAGTGGCTTTATAAACGGATTGTGTGAAAACAGGAGAGTTATCATTCGCATCTAAAACAATAATATTTATTTGTATATTACCAGACATTTGTGGATCTCCCCCGTCAAAGGCTGTTAACGTTAAAGTCATAAGCTCCTGCTTTTCGCGATCTAGAGGCTTTTGTAAAATCATTTCTATATTTTGTCCTGGTTGCTTCTTGAACTTCAAGACAAAATTATCTGTTGGTTTTAATGAGTAGGTCTGAAGACCATTAATTCCAACGTCTAAATCTCTGGCTCGCTCTATTGTGAATTTTGTACCAATCGACGCAGATTCACTAATTCTAAAAGTCATCTCATCTT